ATTCTCCAGGTACCATTCGGCTTTTTAACAAGCACAACATTTGCAACCCAGTCTGGGAAGTAACATTGCCGAATGAATCCTGCATCAAGTAATTTTTTAACTTCGACGGCTGCCGCCTGACTTCTTTCTTCGCCATGGTTCCGCTTCTTCTGCCTTACCGGCTTCTTTTTTGGATCCACAGCCAGTTTATGTACCGCCAGCTCAGGACTAATGCCTGGCATTTCATGGACTTCGAATGCAAAGATGTCCTTGTATTCTTTCAACAGATTGTGAAAGTCATCACCTAGGACCCCTAGAGCAGTCGTCCCAACTTTGACTGTTCTGTCAGGACGCGAGACATCTAAGATTAGGTCCGTATGCTCACCAGCCGGCTGAGGGCGGAATTCATCCGACCGCTCCTCTGCCAATGATTGCTATTTTTTATCTTTTCTTGCGGCCCCCATCTGGGATGCCTTTCTTTTTTTGCCGCCTTCTTGTTGAACAGGCGCATTATCCTTGACATTGTCAATCTTTCCTCCATTGGACCCAACGGCCATAACAGTGGGCTTGACATCCGAGAGATAGCATTCTCGTGCCATCCTCTGATCTCCCCTTAGGGAGCCGACTGTTCCATTGTCCCTCTCAAACTTGAGCAACATAAGAGATGGGATTATTACAGCCTTGGAATTATTTAGGGTTGGTCGTCCCAGAATCATGTTGTAGGCCGAGAGTTCTTCTACCACCAGGAACCGGACTACCATGTGTCGTCCTTCCCCTTTTTCACCCAGGCGGATGGGTAGATCTACTCGTCCTACAGGGTGGACGACTCCTCCTCCAAACCCTACTAAAGGGTGGGAGGCCGGATGTATACAATCAGTTTTGTACTTCAATTTTGACAGACATTTGCTACTGATAAGATCTGAGGAGCTTCCGGTATCTATGAGGATTCGTCCAACTCTCTGATTGGCCACTTTACATTCAATGACGATAGGGTCGTCATGCGGCCCCCTGACCCCTCCTAGATCTTCTTCAGTAATGACAATCTCAGGAAATGAATTTTTGGAGGGCCGTTCTGGGTGAACAGAATTTACATCTAGCCGCCTGATATTGTCTTTGTTGCCCCTAATAGTGGGACCTCCTCCTGCGAAGCTGCCTGCAATAGTGTAGACGACTGCATCATCTGTATCAGAGCTGTCGGCCTGTTGATTCTTTTTGGCCGACTGTTTTTTCGAGGAAGTGCTCCCCGTGGATTTCTTGACAAAAGAGTCAAGATCACCTTGCTCAGCCAGGCGGTCTAGATACCGCATGAGACTGATGCATTCGTTGGTGTGATGACCAACATCTTCATGATAATCACAGAATTTATCTTGGTTCCGGTTGCTTGCAGAACCCTTCATGGGGACCGGCTTCTCAATAGAGATCCGTCCCTTGATTTCGTTTAGGATAGTTTGGCTATCCTTGCTAAACGCATACTTTGGGGAGTATGGTTTGAATTCTTTTTTCTTCTTCTGGGTCGGCTGTTTAGAGGAATCAGCCGCCCAGACCTCTTTTCTCTTCTTTTCCTTGTTTGACGACTGTATCTGTCGCCCTTCTTTTTTGTCGAACTTTTTCCCGTCCGACTGTTTCACTGTACTACAAAGATCAGTTGCCTGTATATAGGCTTCTGCTTCAATCAAGGCCTCCTGAAGAGTCGCCACCCTCTTTCGAACCAGATCAAATTTGAAGGTCGACCCGTCTTTGAGACCCCTGAAAAAGTCAGTATAAGCTACCTCATCCGGTAACCCTTGAATCTGTATTCTCATCAGGTTAAACCGCCTGATGTAGGATCGAAGCCCCTCCTTCTCACCCTGCTGAATTGTTCCCAAATCAAGGGTCGTCTTCTTCGCAGGAATGTTCATGGCGAAGTTGGAGGTGAACAAGTAAGCAAGCGTCCTGAAGTTGTTTACACAACCAGTCGGCAGGTTGCCGAACCATTGCTGTGCAATTCCTTTGAGAGTCGCTGGAAAACACTTGCACCAAGTGGGATCATCCAACCCTTGAAGGTACATTAGGTTGGAGAATGCCATCAGATGATCTTCTGGGTTAGTAGTGCCATCATAGGCGCCTACTAACACATTTTTCACTTTGGCCGGCTGAGCGGCTTCAGTGATTTCCTTGGAGAAGGCCGACGGCTGTTCACCAAGTCTAAGCAACCGTAGCTGCCAGTCCAAAGGTTGGACATTTTTAGCTGCGTGTCCACCAAACGGAGGTGGCTGCATAAAATACTGTTGCTGTGGTACAAATGGTAAGTTTGGTACCGCCTGGTCGCTATGAAAGCCTGACTGACGGGAGGTGCCGCCTGACTGACTCTCATGATACGACTGGGTATGCCTCATCGATGTATTTCGCAGACTTTCTTGAAAATTTGAAGTAGAGGCCGACTCTGACAGTCGGTCACTCTTCTTCTGTTCTAACAGCAGACGAGCGTCTGTGTATGTTTTCTTCGACCCGTCCGCCTGAATATGACGAACAGGTTTCCTATTTCCTGGAGTAGGAAAACGGTATTTTGTGAGGTCAAGGGCAGGCGGCTCCCACTTCCTGGATTTAGGATGAGGAGTTCCCTCTCGCCCTTGAACCGGCTTCCTCTTGCCTGAGGTGGAAGGTTTCTTAGCCGACTGTTCCTTGGCCGGAACAGGCTTCTTATTAAGCAACTCTTGAATTTCTCCCTTGAAGTCCCTCATGAAGGTCATGAGTTCGTTCCTTGTGATGGGAGCAGACCCATCAGTCGTCTGTTGCCGAACAGACGGTGCGCCTGTTGGCTCGCTTACAGTTTGAAAATGTTCCCGTTCCCTCCTTTCGGTCTGACGGGTACGTCGGGCCCTTAGGGTCCCGTCTGGAGCTGTGTGAGCTTCAACTTCAAGTTCATTGTCAGTATCATGGTCCGACTGGATTTGAGGGTCGTCTAGGGGACGCCTCTCTTCAAAAGTCGGTACAAACGTGGATGCCATCTCAGAAGTACTCTCCCCACAGACGGCGCCAAAATGTTTCGGGGTTTTCTGGTGTCCTGCGGGAGAGTTACAACACCGAGACTGGAACCGGACGCCTGTACCTGCAAAACAACGAAGACTCCTTGTGGTAGGAGCTCCGCCTCCAACGGTCAAGTTAGTACCTGATTTAGGAGTAATAAATGCGGAAATTAAAGTGATTTAGTCTCTCTAGGTGAGAGTGTTTAATGTGCAATCCATGTGTTGTTTTCGAGTCCTCCCCCTCTTAATGAGGATTAAGAGGGGTATTTATAACCTCGGGAAGCGTGCCACTCTCTAGGTTTAGGGTAAACCTAGGGCTGACTGGGCCTCTAAACAGGATTGGGCCTTGTTGGCCGGTTTTCCCATTTGGCATGGGTGGACACGTGGCGTGTCTCAATTGGTCCGTAGAGGACGTATCTGTGATTGACACGTGGCAGGCTCCTATTGGCCTACGTGAAGGACACGTGGCGGAACCTGGTTGGTCCACTTGTCAGACGGTGATTGGTGGATAAAAATCCCCTAATCACAACTAATCAACTAGACAAGTATACGAAGTAGAAAATATGGTAATGGTGGGAGTAGACAAAAAGTGTTACCTTATTCACTAATTTCAAACTATAATCCAAAATTTGTGAGTGTGTGAATGATTGGTAAGTGAAAAGATATTCTTTATGCTAACTTGACAAAAATGAGGTAGTCATTGTGATCCTATATCGTTTTGAACGCTCAGCTTGTTGATGCTCTACAGAATTGTTGAAGAGATGTACAATACGTACAAAGGCTAGTTTATTGCAAGTAATTGATAGAGTATAAAACACATTCCTGTGTCTCAACCATCAGGTTAAGCTTTTGATTGAGTTGGTCCACTAACATGGTATCAGAGCCAACGTGACACAAAGGTCACGAGTTCGAATCTCATCCGATCCGCCCCTCATTCAAAGTGGAATTAATTCGCACTAGGTATGGGTGGGCCTGTGTTGCATCCACATTTAATGTGAGGGGGAGTGATAGAGTATAAAACATATTCCTGGGCCTCAACCACCAGCTTAAACTTTTGGTTAAGTTGGTCCACTCTTAAAATAAGATGAGAAAAACATAGCATTAACATAATGTAATGTAAAGCTAACACTTTATAAATTGAAGACACAAAGGTATTTGTGATTAAGATAGTCTCATTCTTATTATTAAAAAGATTGGCAAAGACATGGGGCATGGTGAAGTTTGCAAAGCCCATTTTTTTTTTTTTTAATTAATTTTTGATTTTGGCTGTAAAACACCTTGTAAAAGCAGCAACAAGACTCCATAATGACTATTTTTTCATGATTTGAATATCAAATTAAAAAGAAACGTGTGAATAGTGTCAAATGTGTAAATGGTTCTAATGGAGGAAATATTAGGTAATATTTCATCTATTTTTTTTAGTTGACATCACCTTTCTATTATCACGTTTGCCAACGCATGTTTTTAACGATTAATATCTCTAATTATTAACACTATAAGATTATAAAAATTGGATATTAATAAAATATACACTAATACGGTTCAAACAAGACCCTACATGAATATGTTTTATCGTATCTATAAACCACAAAAGCGAGTCAAAACGTGTTGTGTGAATAGTGTAAAAGTCAAACGGTGTCAACTAAAAAAAACGGAGGAGTATATGTATATCTCACTTGATTTGTTAAGAAAAAATAAAAACATCTCCCTTAAAATTGATATTTGTTATACAGAGTACATGTATATTTATTTTATAAGGTAATACATCTCAATAATTCACTAGGAGGTTATAAATATTATGACATTAACTATTCAATTGACCATGTCCACATGAAAAACTTTTACATAATTCAGCATTAAATAAATAAAAGTGGCTCACGAGTTTTAGGCATGTTGAACATCTTTACAAAGCTGTTCTATAAATTGGTATAGTAAATCGATCAATTCCTAATAACACATTTCTTAGACAAGATTATAATAAAAATGGCTATTTTTAATCTTATTAGACTCATATTAATGGTTTTAGCTTCTCTTTGTGCTGTTTCCTTGTCACAACCATCACAATCGATCACTTCTTGCTTAAGTAAAAACCATGTCACAAATTTCTCTCTTCTACCAACTTCACATAGTCATTTCAACACAACATCTTACTACAATCTTCTCCAATTTTCTCTCCAAAATCTTCGATTTTCGACCCTTAAAACCCCGAAACCATCTGTTATTATACTCCCAAAGAGCAAAGAACAACTTGTAAGCAGTTTTCTTTGCTCTAAGAAAAATGGTTATGAGGTTAGGATTAGGAGTGGTGGGCATAGTTATGAGGGCATTTCATCCGTTTCAACTGATGGGAAACCATTCGTGATCATTGATATGATGAATTTAGATCGAGTAGAGGTGAATTTACGATCGAAAACAGCTTGGGTTGAGGGTGGTGCAACCACAGGTCAAGTGTATTATAACGTAGTAACACAATCTAAGGGAGTTTATGGATTCTCTGGTGGTAATAAGTGCTGGTCAATGGGGTTTGGTGGTCATGTATTAGGAGGTGGTTTTGGGTTTTTGTCTAGGAAATATGGGCTGGCTGCAGATAATGTGGTCGACGCCCTCCTCGTGAGCCCAACCGGTAAAGTCTTGGACCGGGCTGCCATGGGGGTGGACGTGTTTTGGGCCATTCGCGGTGTTGGTGGGGGTAGTTTAGGAATTGTCTATGCTTGGAAGATTAATTTGGTGAAGGTGCCTCCTAAGGTTACTACGGTTAAAGTCTTAAGAAATGGTCAAGTCAATGAAATTTCTAAATTAGTGCACAAATGGCAAAAGGTAGGGCCTTTCTTACCAGATGAATTTTTCCTTTCGGTTATTATTAAAGCCAATAATACTGATAAAAATGATACTAATAATATTGCTGCATTAATTTTTGGGCAATACCTCGGACCAAAACTTGAAGCAATCTCTATAATGAACGAATTGTTTCCCGAATTGAGAATCAAGGAAAATGAGTGCAAATATATGAGTTGGATAAATTCGGTTTTGTACTTCACCAGCCTAGGTGAACGAGGCACAATCGATGATCTAAAGAATCGATTTGTACGGAATAAAATCTATTTCAAAGCAAAGTCGGACTATGTAACAACACCAATTCCCATAGATGGTGTACGTGGTGTCATGAACATACTCGCCAAGGAGACTAAGGGTCATATCACGATGGACCCTTACGGAGGTAAAATGGCTCGAATAGCCAACAACTCGTTGCTTTTCCTCATCGAGAAGGTAATCTCTTCAACATCCAATATTCTGCGGTATGGGGAAAAGAGGATGATGTGAACAACGATAGATATATAGCTTGGGTAAGGGGGTTATACAAGTTCATGACTCCCTTCGTTTCGTCTAATCCTAGGGCAACTTACATTAACTACTTAGATTTAGATCTTGGAGAAAAGAAATATGATGATGTTGATTCTAGAATTGAGAAAGAAAGATCATGGGGTGAGAAGTACTTTATTAACAATTACGAGAGATTAGTTAAGGCCAAGACAATTATTGATCCTTGCAACGTTTTCAACTATCCGCAAGGAATTTCACCAATGCCAAACCATAAGAAATGTAACAAGCCTTGAGGCAACAACAAATATGTTACAAATATGTACCTTTTAATACTTTATGGATTGAATAAAATTCTATTTGCTTTTCTCACCTTATAATTATATCATCAACGTAGTTGTGTTATTTTTGTTAAAGTAATCATACACAAAACACTCTTATTTCCGCTTGCTAGCTTATTTGAAACACACATTATTAAAACTAGATCTAGCTATATTTTTACCTAGCTTGATATGGATCGAGAGATTCTTCGTATTATTAATGAACTTTTGTACTCGTTTGATCGTTTATATTTTTTAAGAATAGTCTCATTCCAATATCAATGACATAATTTCATACGCATATGTAAAAAAATTATAGCCGCTAAATGTACTCGTTAGAGATAACTGTATGTATATTGTCAAATGATCGAATATTGAGTAAGGTTTGATTGAGTGAAAAGTATGCACCTTATAACTATAAAGTTGTGATATCAAACCTCACTAGAGGTACTTTGGGGTAGAGATTCCTACACCGCCCACTCCCAAAGTGTTTAGCTCGCGGTCTAACAGTGCCCTTTTCCTTACCAACCCAAAAAGTATCATCAAAGGATTGAATTGTATTTGAATGTTTTCTACTCCATGTTTGGGCAAGGAGTATATAATTTTTTTTAAGAATATCATAGTCCATGTTTGGTGCTCAAGTATATACTCCGAATATTTTTATAAAAAGTCATAAATTGTCCCCCCCTTTATCCTTCTACAAGCCAACATGTACGTACATTTTTTATATATAAGAATATTGAAATCATTATTCTTAGAATTGGAACGAACATAATGCTTGCCCAAGATCCCGTAAGAAAACATATCTTTAGCCTCTAGCTTTTGCTACAAACTTCCCATTCATTTTACAATCTATCATATTCCTTTCTTTCTACATGCAACAATCCTATACTTCAAGTGTTACTCTACATATACACCTAAAACCTTAAAACACCTATGTGTAAATGTGTTTATCCAAACTAAAAACCCATCTCATTCCTTCAATTCACCACTCATAAAAAACACACGAAAAACATATAGCCGCGAGGAATGAACCACCCCAACCACGGCCACCTCCCGATCCACGGAGACAATAACAGACAACAACCATACTACCACCGTACCCACACGGTCCGGTACTACGCCCACCGGGTTAAGGAGAGCCTAAGCACAAGAGTCTCCAAATTCATATGCACCATCTTTTTATTTATCTTCTTTATTGCGGGCCTAATCGCTTTTATCATTTGGCTGGGCCTCCGTCCACATAGGCCCAGGTTTCACATTCAGGAGTTTTCCATTCCAGCTTTGGCCCAGGCCCAACAATCTGCGCCACCGGAAAGTGTTGCTGTTAATTTCAATGTCACAATCCGCAATCCAAATCATAAGGTATGCTTTACACATGTATTGTCCATATAATTAATCCATAATAGCGTTAATAAACTTACATTAGTTACGTAGCCCTAATGGGTTAATTGTAAGTATTAAACTATACTTTACTATGTTTTTTAAAGTGACTAAAACTACTTTATGATAAAATTACACGTCAATTGATGATAATTATGTTTAGTTAAGGTCTCAAATTTCTACTTTAACTACTTTACACACATAATAGTATATAGTTACATTGAGTGTTACCTATAAAATTTGTCATACATAATCATTCTTTTTTACAAACTTGATTTTTTTGTTTAATTAAAAGCATATTTCTTATTTGATGTAGTGTAATCTTTGTTTTTTCCCCATAATGCTAGATTTAATCTAATTTGCTGATTACTAAAATAAGTAATCTTACTAGTAATCTAAATAGCTAGAATGAGATGAGTTAAACTACATCAAGCATATATCTTGCTTAAGTTGCAAGTTTAATTCCCCACCCTGGTCCTTTATACGTGACTTCATATTGACATATTCCTCATAATATTATGGGTGTGTTATGTTTACTATACCAAAAATAAGTTATTGGTCTTATTATGAAGGTTGTTTATGTGTGACCTAAATTAGAAATAATCAGGTCTGATAAGTTTAATTTATATCAATTCAGATGAAAAAAGTACATTAAATTAAAAATCTTAAACGTCAATCTAGCATATCATACCATATATAGATCTATCCGGGGCATGTCAAATCAAAGTCAGCTCGAATTGACGATGATGCTATCCTGTCTTTTGAAACGTATTTGGAAAATAAAACTCCACCCATGATCAACTCTTTTAAATCTTAAAAGTTTTTGATTTCCAGGTAACAGTCCACTATGATTCAATAGAATGTGCAGTTTTCTACAAAGAACAACAAATTGGTGGAATCCCATTGGTAACGAGTGAGTTTGATCAAGAGTCCAAATCTACAGTAATTCTTCAAACGGGTTTAGGAGGGCCCACTTTGACGGCCAAGATTCAACGGTGGGCGGAGATGCAAAAAGATCTAACGGCTGGGTTCGTCCCATTTCGACTTCAAATTACATCAGTTTTTAAATTCGAGATATTATCTTGGGGTACTAAGAGTAAAACACATAAAATGCATGCTAATTGTGTTGCTCAAGTTGGCCCTAATGGTCTGCTCTTGCCTCATTTAGTCGGAACAAAATGCCCTGTTTATTTTACTTAATTTATTTTTTGATTATTTTTTTGTAATGTTTGATTGCATTTAGTGAGATGCAATTATTTTTTTAAAATTATATTTATGTATTGTAATAAGTATATTTTTGGGAATTCTTTGGAGGCTTATTTTGCCTATTGTAATTACTAATTATTGGTTGTTTCTTTTTTTTTTTTTTTAAAAAAATAAAAAAGAAATTGTGATGTTGTTGAATGTTGTCAATTGTAATATTTCTGCTCCTTAATTGATTTTTTTTGTTTTTATTTTTTTAAAAAGCAAGTTAAATAGTAATGTTTATGAGTTTCAAAAGAAGCAATATAATTTTTTTCATACTTGCATTTTCTTTTGTTTAAGTTCTTGTGTATGGCTCACTTGGTTTTATTAGTATAGTGTAAAAATAAACACAACAATTTGACAGGTTTTTATAACTTATGGTAAAATTATAAGGCTTTAAATTACCCGATTTAATTTTAAAATAACAACAACTCCGACTATACTTCCTTTTAATTCCTTGATATGAATAGTTCAAATTATTAATTACCTTAGGCCACCCTTGTTAACTAGATTATCAATTAATACTCAGCATTGCACTATTTAGAATAGAAATTTTAAAAAAAAAATCATTAAAATGTTGCAAACTGTTAGAGATATGATATATCGGAAAATATATGTGATATATTTTCCGTATAGATATTGTTATGAGAATAATATATTTAGTATTATCTTATGTTAAGATATTATTTAGAGAATATATCATTAGATTATATGGTATATCTTTTAGGAATATTGTTTCCTATTTTATGTTCGTAGGTTTTGTATAAATACTCTACCTATTGATGAATAATAAACAAGCTATTCATTCTCATATATTTTCCGATATATCATATCTCTAACACAAACTAATTAATTTTGCAGCAAATACATAACCTACATAAAAAGATAGTTTTTGAGAAAGGAAACAAAAGTCATTAACATGATTTTGGTTAATTGATATTCATAATGTCATTTTTTATAAAAAAAAAATTTGTTATTTTCTTTATCTTTGAATTTGGGAGAGCAAAGAATAGGAATGATAAAAGATGATGTAATATGTAATTTTAGTGGGAAATTTTTTCATGAATATGACACATATACATAGATGATGTAATTAGTTTTTACTTTAATTATAGTAGTTTTAGATTGCAAGTCATATAAAAGATTAATTATTTGAGAAGAGGCCTCCCAAATTTATCTCGAGATACTTATAAGTGAGAGAGAATAACACCTTAATTTAATGAGTAGTACTCCATAAGATGTTATCTATGATATAAATAACCATGTTTAGGTATGCTAGAATCAAGAATGAAGAAATGAGAGTTTGTTCTCTTCTGTGTTTTCTTGAGTGAAATCTTGCGGCCCCTCTAATATATACATGTATGTTAGGTTAAAACTAATTAAGGAAAGACAGCTATACAAGCCTAAATATATACAAAAGATATATATCAATAATATGCCTAATAAGGTAGAAAAGAGTTGTAATTATTTTCTTTGTTAAGAACTTTTCATTTATTTTAATTTAGCTAGGTGTTCAAACATTTAAAGAATTTTCTCATTCAAGCCAACGAGTTACGTTACCTAAGCTGTTATACCAATTTTTCGAAGTCCAAGTTAAATTGGATTTTAAGATGAAAAACCTTTTTCAAATCCAAAAAAAAAAAAAAAAAAAAAATAAATCAAGTCATATCAACGTCAGATTTTCCAATCGCATAATTTTTGAGGTTTTTAAGATTTGAAATTGACCCTTTTTTTATTTGTAGTATAAATCATATTTCGTATCTCTGTTCGTTCATACCTCTTTCATCAAGTCCTGTTCATACCTCTTTCATTAAGTCCACGTATTCTTAATTGTTTCTTTATGTTCAACTAACTTTATAGAAAGCACATTTTCCATGTTAATTTTAATTATTAATTAATAGTGTAATTAAGGTATTACTAAACAATGCAAGAGAATAACCCACATGCATGCAATTATAGAGTAATTCTCCTTTATTTCTTTTAAACATGGTACGGTAGTAGTATGCAACACACAATAATTAAGCAGAATAAATTAAAGTTTGTACATTTGAAACGAATATCTTCATTGTTCTTTCCATACTCGATCTTAACACGGTTAACTAACTTCTAGTTATTTGGATTATTCCATTTGTAAACAACAAAAATTTCTCCTTTTGTTTTCTTTTAGTTGCATAAAGAAATAATGCATGGTAATTAACGAGAGAAGAAAGATATAACGATGATCTATGCGATAATGAAAGAGATAATATAACCATGCTTGTTGTTCTAATAAAGTAATATCGCAATTACTCATTTCCTATAACTTCACAAATAAAACTACGTTTTAAGTAAAAAAGAACGGAGAATATATATATATATATATATATATATATAGAAATGGTGAAAATACTTGCATAACTAAGAAGAATGAAAATTACAGTTTTAGTTTAAGAATCTAAAACCCTTATCTAACAAGTAAAGAAGATCAGAACACCTCCACTACTTAAACTAAAACCCTTATCTAACAAGTAAAGAAGATCAGAACACCTCCACTACAAAAACTTTTCATCAACAAGAAAGAATATTGCAAATAAAAAAGTGCCTTTTTTTTTTATTTACATAATTAAACGCGTTAGTGCTTTCTTATTTGGATATTAATTAAAATTAAAAAACATTTCTTATTAGGAAAAAAAATTATTGTGGTAGTTATGTCAATATTGCGTGCAGTATGTATATAATGAATGAAATTAGTCATCATGCAACGTCATATTGTATACGCACTCATTTTCAAAAATGGCTATCTCCAAAGAAACTACAAATCCTTCTCTAATTCCTCTTTACATTTGGTTCCTTGAAGTTATTACTGTTCTTATTTTCTGTTGTGTTGTAATAACATTGTGTATAATTCCAAGGCCTCCAACATACACTATCACAAACCTCGCTATTCCCGGCTCCCTGGACAACACCACCACCTTGTCGATGCAAGATCTCAATGAAGTCAAGCTAGTGATGAACTCGACGATTATTTTATCGTTGTTGATTACAAACTCGAACAAAGCAAAAGAAATTGTTTATGATGAATCCAAGATTACTTTGTACAAGAATGGTTCTTTGGTTGGTATAAGTACATTGCAAGGTTTCTTTCAAAGTGGTAAGAGCAATAATACATATTTGGTGCTTGTGAATTTCAACCATGAGAAGATAAAATTTGGAGGTCAAAATGAAAGTGGCACTTTAAAGATTGGGTTGGAAACTTAGGTGAGATACATTATACTTGGAAGTACAACAAAATTACACTCCCTTAACCTTGAAGCTTTTGTGCCCATTGATGTGAGTGGAAAGGTAGAATTGGGTGATGAGGGAATAAAGCTCGAGCCTTCGAAACATAAACCCTAGTAAACAATGTGTGGTTACTTTATCGGTAACCATATTCCAAAATATCTTTGTTACGATTTATGAAAAATCCGAAAAGATAAGGGATTTTTTGAAAGAAGGTAAGAAGGGTACATAGTTGTTTTTTCCCCTTTTAGTTAGAGTAGAATCTAGCTCGATCTTGGCTCCCTAATCAAAAGAAAATGTTTGTAAGTGGAGAAACTCATTTTATGTTATATTTAAAATAGAATTATAAGCTAAGAAAGCGAGCATGTTTATTGATCTGATATAATGTAATTATATATGACATAAATTACCTTTTTTTAAATGAATGATTTTTTACGTCCTTAGTAGAATAATACAAGTAATCTGCCTCGAAGAACTATTAAACATTTGTGACATAGAATTTGAAAGTGGCAAAAAGTATTTCTTGTTTTTAGGTAGAAAAAAAGGAGAAAAGTTCATGAACTTAAAAGCATGGACAATCTTATGCTTTTCCTTACAACAATATGTATGTACATTAGAATAAAGTAAGTGGTTATGTCAATTTCCCTTGCAACGATGTACAATCGAATAAACTATGTAAGAAGAAAAGCACAAATTTTCTGCCAATCTGATAATCTTAATCTTTGGTACAAAACAAAAGGTTGCCATTTTTGTAGTTTTATTCCTTAACTTTACATCAACTAATTGCCTCCTTCAACAAGTATACTTAGCTTCCTACCGTTATTTAGAAGCTTGACTTCATTATAAAAATACAATAACAATAATGTTTAACCTTCTCAAATCTTCAAACAATAACCTTTCTCTGTAGCAGTAAAAAAAACCCGAAAATATGACAGTAAACAGAAAATTTTATATTTGGGGTTTGATAGTCTTATTTTTGCTAGGCATCGTTGCACTAGCACTATGGCTAGATCTTCGCCACCAAGCTCCATCATTCACCATTGTCAACGTTTCTGTGCCAACATCAAATGGCCGCAGTCCTCAACACACTGATATATACATAGACCTCGATGTCAATAACCAAAACAATGCTTACAGCATCACCTATGATTACAGTGTATTGACTGTTAAGTACGCCCAACGTACTTTAGGTGAGACGGATATAGTAATCAACCACCAACCTAAAAACAAAAAAACTTCAGTAACCTGTCAGGTAATAGTTGATGATCAGCAGCAGGATGTCCTTGTAAGGGCGATATCAAAGTCATCAGGAGAAGCTATGTTGATGGTTGAGCTTAAGACGGGTATTAGATATCACAATCTAGGCCATACTAGTAAGCAGCATAATCTCAAGTATCAAGGTAAGTTCATGATTGGATCAGATGGAAAGATTTTGGGCAAAAAGAAGAAGGTCAAGCTCGTAAAAGATCATTAACTTCATGTTAATGACTAATATTTTAGCAAAGATAAGTTAGAAACATTCACTCATTCAGTACAGCAGAGAAATAATACATATTGTACTGTTGTATTGCTCGATTTTTAAACAATCCTCGCATTGTATACAGCTATTCCTGGAAACAGGTATCGATCACAGTTAACAGCTTAAGATCAGAAGATAAACTAGCTGCAAATCAACAAGTGAGGAGTGCAGAATTTGGTTAGATTCTTAAGAAGCTTCTCTAAAAGCAGACCTGCATGTAACTGTTAGTTTTTCAAGTGTACTGATACTTTTGTAGAAACAGTTCATCTATTATCATATAACACTGAAAGTGTAGTCAAACCAAGTTAACAAGGATGAGTAAATTAACAGTGTGAACACAACTTTTGTCATAAAAGTGAGCACATATACAATACAAGTATAACATTAGAGATAAAGTATGTTATAGTTCTGTCTAAAGAACAGGTAAATTTCCTGTCATAAATTCAGCATCATTTTAAAATTAATCTACAAGTTTTACTATATCTTATATATATATATATATATATATATATATATATAATTTTTCTATGTTTATATTCCCTTAATCCACTTTTCATCAATTGATTGCTTATAATAGCAAGTATACTTCTATATTGTAGTTCAGAAGCTTTGCTCTATTATAATAAGCTAGTATAACCATTTGTTTATTTTGTCCATCTTCACCTTTCAATCACCAGCCTTTCTTTCAGATAGTAGTAGAGTGATTAAAAAAAAATGACACTATTTAAAAGCTTTAGATTATGGATTTTCGTAACGTTCATTGTCCTGGGTCTCGTAGCACTAGCTCTATGGCTAGATTTGCGCCGACAAACACCTTCAGTCTCCATCTATAACTTATCCGTGCCACCATCACCTGATAGTGAACATCACCTTTATGTTCAAATACATCTACACGTAGAAAACCCAAACAAAGTTCGCAGCATCATCTATGATAACAATGTATTCATTGTTTATTATGGTAATCATACATTTGCAGAGACACAAAATCTTGTCGAACTTAATTTTCAAAAATCTAAAGAATCAACAGAAGTGGTATCTCATCATGTTGAAGCTGATCTTCATCAATGGAAAGCCCTTCGAAAGGCATTATCAAACTCGTCAGAAGAAATGTTGAAGGCTGATTTCAAGACAGAAATTCGGTATCAAGAAATGGGTCATAAGAGCAAGATGTATAATCTTACATATAAAGGTCAGTTCAAAATTGGATCAGATGGAGATATTTTAGGGAAAGGGAAAAAGAAGTTAAAGCTATGCAAAAATTCGTGCTAAATTGCATTCCAATTTATCCTATGTAGAAGAAATTAAATGCTTTGTGATGTATTAATCTTACTTGTATAACTCTTAAGTTAGCAAAGAAATATCGCCTTTGTTCATGGTAACAAAGAAAACATAGTAGTTATAGAATTATTATTGAAACTATCCTTTCAGCAATAAACGTTGATATAACAAACATGTTAATTACGGAGTATAGTTTACAGCTTGATTAAAGTATCAACTCAACTATTTTATGCTATGTTACCCGAACTCTGTATCTCCAAACTCAGAATGGAGATAAACAGATTACAGACATGAACTCAGAACGGAGATAACAGATTACAGACAAAGATAGCGCCTTCTGAAAGTCTGAAAAACAAGAAACTTGAAATCTGAAACTGCTGTAAAAATAGTTTATTGCACACTTAAAAGTATAGTCAAACCAATTAATATGAGAGAATAAACCCTCATTGTGTATATAACTTTTGTGATAAAAGTAAAGAATATATACAATTTAAGGGCCGAAATGAAGTAACACATCTTAGATATAAAGTATGTTATAATTCTGTCTACAATACAGGTAAAAATTCTTGTTATAAATTCAGCTAAAGCACCTTAGGGAGTGTAAATTAGGTAAACCATTTCATTCATTTGAGCAATGCTTCCCTGAAAAGGAACTAACGAACTTCCCTATTCTGATGAGTGATATCATGTATATCGACGAAACTAATTAAGCGAGGCCGACGTATTTGTGATGTAGTCTTCATCAAGCATGCCAACCTCATAGCAATGCACAATCGAATTAACATGTAGAAAGAAAACACTAGTTTCTAGTTACCCAGAGGAGCTTCATCTTTGTTAACGACTAACAAGCCAAAAATTAATCTACAAGTTTTATTATATTTTGTCTTTAATTTTTATGTTTTTATTCCCTGAATCCACTTTTCAATTTTTCATCAATTGATTGTTTACTTCAGCAAGTATACTCCATATTGTAATATAGAAGTTTTGCTTTATTATAAGCTAGAATAGTAATTTGTTTATTTTGTCATCTTCAACTTTCAACCTGCAACTTTTCATTCACATAGTAGAGGGGAAAGAAAATGACATTATTCAAAAGCTTTCAATTTTGGATTTTCGCAATTTTCGCCCTCCTAGGTCTCCTAGCACTAGCTCTCTGGCTAGATTTGCGTCCACAAACACCTACATTCACCATCGTTAACTTTTCTGTGCCAACATCAGCTGACTCAGAACATCACCTTAATATTGATATACAACTTGCCGTAAAAAATCCAAACAAAGTTCACGGCATTATCTACAATAACAGTCTATTCACTGTTAATTACGATAAACATACTTTGGGACAGACACATAATCTTATTGCACCTGGGTTTCAATTACCTAAACACAAAACAAACATGGTATCTGATCATTTTGATGCTGATGTTCATCAATGGAAAGTCCTTCGAAAGGCAATATCAAATTCATCTGAAGCAATGTTGAAGGTTGAACTCAAGACAGAATTTCATTATCACGATCTGGGTCGTACCAGTAGGAAACTTAATCTAAGATATCAAGGTCAGTTCAAAATTGGATCAGATGGCAAGATTTCAGGGGAAAAGAAGGTAAAGCTCAGCTAAGGTTCATGCTAAATAACTTCTCCAAATCATCCTATGAAGAAGACTAATTTGTGATGTATGAAGTATTATCCTTACTTTTACAACTCCTTTGTTCATGGTAACAGGGAAAACATAGTAATTATCTGTCATGATAACAGGGGAAACATAGTAATTATTGAATTATTGAATTTATCCTTTCAGCAATAAAAGTTCGTGTATAGCAAACATTGCATGTTAATTAAGGAGTATAGTTTACAGCTTTATTAAAGTAATCAATTTAACTGTCGTATGCCTCTAAGCAAGCTCTTTAAAACAGAGTCTAAAATATTCAACGTACTCGTGAATTGTGATTTCACTGCTGTAGAAAAAATATATGTAGTACATGTGTAGAAAAAATGTACACGGTACCTTTTGAGCACTGTCATAAATAGAAGCCTCTGAAGAAAAAGAAATTTGGTAATCTGACAAATTGTAGACTGCATGCTGCTCCCTTCAGAAGTTCAAGAAGTTGCATCTTAAAATCATCTCAAATCTTTAGTTCCATGCCTCATATAAGAATTAGATATTAACAGCCAACATGCATCAGCAAAATATAACTTCAAAGCAGCAATTGCATCAGAAGGATAGTTCACAGCTGAAACTCTTTTATCTTTCTAGCAGCTTCACCAAGGAGGTCACAATAACAGATAATTGTAACCATAATAGCTCTTTCAAGTTTCAACCCAAGAACACAGGAAATCATAAGAAAGCAGCTGTTAATAGTCTCAAGAGCTCTTTATGTCCTTACAGTTCCAACGTTGAGAGGCCAGTTGTCTGCGCCATTGCTGGACAGGGACCTGTAGAGTAATCTCAGTTCCCAGATAGAAACAATTCAATTAACTTGAATTGCTATTATCACTTCAAAAAGAAACATATTGCAGGAAACCCACCATAATATTTGATTAATTCATTTTTTGATTTTAAGAATTAAAGAAACATACCGCAGGAAAGCCACCATAATCTCCAGGCTCCTTGATGTCCTTTGTGACACAGCTAATTGCTGCAAGGCGAACCTAAAAAGACCAAGAAGTTAATTCGTACATCTATGAGTTTTCAATTGAAAATCTAGGAATCTAATGCTAGAAAGTTAAATACAGTAGTTCAACAAATGAACCAAACCTCATTTTGATAAAAAGTCAAAAAAAAAAGTTTCACTAAAACTTAAAGCAGCCCTCACTGCAGTTGATTTCAAGTGTATCAAAAGTTACAAAACCCATGACAATGAGTAAAAGGGTAATTTTAAATTTTAACTTTGAGAAGACAGACATCCACTAAGTTAGTAAGTTATGTATGCAAAGAATTGAATCAATATACATGTACCTTTGAAACAATGGAGACATGATCACGAACTGCAACTCTGCCACCCAATGTAACATAGTCACCTATCCTAAGGAAGAGGGGGGGGGGGGGGGAGAGAGAGAAGCAGCAACAACAACAACATTATTCATTGATTAAACCTTCACCCAAAAACAGAGTGTTATCTAGATGGCAGGGAATACCATCCAAAATAAAAAGCAACTGTTGTAGAATACAGAAACTTACGTCACTGAACCAGCAATTCCAACTTGTCCACATAAGATACAACTCTTGCCAATAATTGCATTGTGGCCAATCTATAAAAGAAGAGTTTAATCACGAAACTTGAACATTTCAAAGAGCAATGCTAAAATTCAGACGGGGCAGAACAACGCACCTGGACTAGATTATCTATTTTGGTATAATCTCCTATTGTAGTGTCTCTCCAGCTACATTAAAATATCAGCCATAAAATATACAAATATACATATATATATATCCCATTCTATGTTTGACATTAAAGGAACACTCACCTTCCCCTGTCAACACATGAATTTGCACCTATCTCCACGTGATTTCCTATTCTTGCATATAGTGTCTGGAAAAGAGTTGAGGCGGATTTAGAAAGGGCTAAACTAGATTTTTTTTTTTTTTTAAAAAAACAATTGTAAAGTGCAGAAAATAACTGTAGGCCAGGCTTCATTACATCATCAATCATAAAAGTTTACAAATATATCTAACATACTACACTAATTCCCTTTTGTAACACGAACCACAGAAAAACATAGTGTTCCAAGCCGGTGAGGGGAAGCGTCTTGGACAGTATATCAACTCATGCACATTGCAGACTAAATTCTACATGTTGATGAGCATTAGCATAAGTCAAAGTGTAGAAAATTTAAGAACCAATTACAACAACAAAGTGCCATAAAAAAGAAGTCAGATCAAACTTCAAATTTCATTGGCAGGGTCTAGGTCTGAAGGTATATTTCAAGACTCACAGTCTCATTGTAGCTTTGGCCAACTCAGTGCAACTTACAACCCAAGGACCGAGATACTGAGATATTCCCACTATTATATACCTCAGAAAATTTTCATGTGGTTCATTGAGCATCACTAAAACAGTTGAGCAATAAATAATATCATGATTATCTCAAAACCTTCATGACCACTATACGAGGGTGAAAAAATAGAGTGGCTGCACAAGAGAAGACTACAACCACAACTTAATAGGGTCATCAGAACCAGTTTCATGACAGGTAAATCCATACACAAGGGTGTAGGAGTGTCAGCAAAGACTATATTTTGACATACATAAGTATAATAATAAAACATTGCTAAAAAGGGACAAAAAAATTTCATATATAGACAAAAATCAAATGACGGTGATTGAGTTTTAAGGAATACAACCTGAGATTTTTTTGCCATGTTACCATGTTCATCTACGAAAAACCCAAATCCTGCAAAGTATAAAAAAGGATATCATTCACGGACACCAGTCTTGTAGTTGTAGGAATGGGCAAGTGGGTAAGAGAAGACACACTTGCCTCGACACAAAGTCAAACAACCAGAAGAGCTTTACATCACTTTAGCCACAAATCAAATTCCATAAAGTAAGTTTAATTGCCCAGAATTAATGATGACAATGAAAGTTAAGAAGCTATGAACTGTTTCAGGCATATGGAAAATCCAGTTTTACCATCTTGTCCGATGCATACTCCACTGTGGATAACACATAAATCACCTATGGAGCAGTTACTCAGAGCAACATTGTACCTGGAAAGAAGTTGATATTTTGATCACATAGTAGTTGATGGAGTCTGATGTAGAGATAGGGAACGATTGGACACTTTGACAGTAAAATAATAATACTACTCTCGCCCTAAACACACCTCAATAAATTCTACATGAAAAAGAGGCTGAAATTGTGTTCCAGGTGAAAATACTCGTATAAACAAGCCTATGAGAATATATTAAGTATATTGAAGGTGAGTTGGCATGACACCGTGCACAAAGAACAAAATAACTACCTCTTTTACAGCATAACAGAATTCCTGATTTCTAGCTACTGTTAGGCCATTCTGTTTAGAGTTTATTATAAATAGTGATAGCTAGCTATATTTTATTTTAATAAAGAAAAGCTGTAAGATAGCTTCTCCCTCTAAACCCATTACCTTTATCTCTAAATTTTCGTTATAATTTGCCTGAGATCGGTATCTAAGGTTGGAGTAGTGAAGATCTATCAATGGTGTTCTTTAAGCTTTATGTTCTCATAATTTTAACTGAATACTTAAAATATATATTGAAATAAAGAAAGCATAAAATCCACAAGTTTTACAGAATAATGACAATGGAGGCTAAGGAAAACAGCTAGAATTTAAGTCGACAAGGCACAAAAAAAAAAAAAGAAGCCATACCCAAGTGTAGTACAATGTCCCACTGTAACACTAGGTCCAATAACAGCGCCTGATCCAACATGAACATTTGCACCCAAAGTAGCTTTTGGGTGGACAACAGCACCAGTTTCGACTACTACTGTCGGATCAATACAAGCTGATGTGTGAAATAAGCCACCTCCATTACTCCACATCTGGAACCCTTGATGATTCACCATGTCATTGTCTAGTCTCAAAACAAGGAGAATATGATACAATCATTCTCTTTACCATTATTACCCAATAATGTCTCTAACAATGTAACAAGGTTCCCGCCTTCCCCATTCTTCCTATATTTATTTACAAGTTCCACAATATCAATTTTAGTTGAATTGAACGGCAAAATAAAACTATATCAAGTTCTGGTTTTATAACCTCCAACAACACAAGTGTTAAAGTCTTGACTACAATTACACCCCAGACGATGTACAATGCTTTGGAAAGCACATACAAGTCAAATTAAGACAATAAAATCATCTTCATTCATACTATAAGTCTATAACATTATATTCATGAAAAAATAACATACAATTAAGCAACATAAAATCTGTCATCTCAAATACATTTGCACAATTGCTTTTAAAGGCCTTAACTATGAATGGAAAGCCAAACTTTACATAATCTTTACCCCCAAACTAAAGAAGATCAACACTGTACAATTGCGTAATGGCCAATCAAGTAAAACATATACAATATCTTAATTACTAATATAATGTGTAGCAAAAGTTTTCCAAAATGATAACTTTTTGGTTACTTAGGCATTTTCACGAACACTTGGAGTGCATCTTATAATTGAAGTATGATTAGGAATCTGATTACGTCAATGGTTAAATAAGAACATGGGTATAGAAGATATGAAATAGTAGGATTACCAGATTCAGAAGCAGCAGATCCGAAGGAACGAAACGAGCAAGTTGAAGATCGAAACGTATTGAGGCAACGAAACGTGTTAATTGGTGAAGCAGAACTTTGTAAATTTGTTACTCCTCGAAAAATTTGAGATGATGAAGAATTGGAAGATGGGATTTTGGTGATCAACAACTTCAAGTTTCGTACCAAGTATGCCATGGATGATCTTGAGTTTTTCTCTCTTCGTGAAATTGTTTAGAGTGTTCAAAGTTTGAACCTTTGCCCCTAAATTGTTTTTGGCTTTGGACCACTTAAGAAATTAACAATTAGTTCGTATAATTTTGGATAGAATATCTGATATTTAGGTCTAAATTTTTACTTTTATGAAGAATAATTTAGTCAATTTAGATGATGATTTTATGAGGTAAAGGAAAAATGTGGAACTTACCTGTCGAATATTCTAATTAGAATTCTTAGAGTTGTAGTAGGGATGACAATGTAGTCCAAATCCGCCCCCAAACCGAAGAAAAAAAATCCGAACCGAATCCGAGAAATAATTATCCGACTTCTTTTAAAAAATCCGACTTTGAGTCAAAGGAGGGTCGGAGTTGGAGTTTACTTAGAATCCAATTTATCCGGTCCGACTTCGACTTTTTCATGTACTTATATATTTTTAATCATTCAATTTATATTGGTTGATTATATATTGGTTGCTATTGATAATTGGGTCAAAATTACTTTTAAAGTCGGAGTCGGATCGGGGCGGAGTCGAAGGATGGAAATTTAAGTCGGATCGGAGTTGGATTCTCGAAGTCGTAGGCCGAGGCAGATAAAAAATCTGATAACTTGTAGGGTCGGAGTCGGATTTTGCATAATCCGACCTATTGCCATCCCTAAGTGGTAGTGCTACTTAAACTTTTTACAATTTTGGGGTAATTCTTTAAAAAAAGAAATTTAATAAGTGGTTGTTACTTAAATACACGATTTAATTGGTAGTTATTGACAAAATTTCCCACATAGAATGATAGAAGATTTAACTTTTATTGGGTTACGGAGTATGTACTTAAGTTTAATAATAACTTTAATTTACTTTAATGTGATTTGTTAAGGATGTGTTCGGTTCACTGAACTTCAATGTAATCATTTAGGTTTAATAAATGATTGAGCGCTAATGAGAATAACAAATTGTGTTACTTTGTTAGTGTTATAGGAGTTACTTAGTCAGGTGTTACAGGAGTTATCGATTAGTATTTTAGGGGTTACTTTGTCTGTGTTTTAATGGTTACTTTGTTCTTTTACAAGAAACCATATGATACAATCTGTCCACAAAACACTACGTGAAAAAATGAATTTGGCACCGGTTCAAACCCGGCCTAAGGCACCGGTTTGAACCGGTTCCAATGTGGGGGGTGCCAAAAAGGGGTTTAAAAAGGCACCGGTTCAAACTGAAATTCCTAAGCCCAAATTTTTTTTTTTTTGTTGTCATTTTTTACTTAAAAAAATAAGAACAACAAAATTGAATATCACCGAAAATTTACAGTATATAATCAAGAAAAATTACAATATACGAATTATAAAATTAAACAATTACCACATATAAATAAATAAAAAAGAGCTACAATATAAATCAAAAAAAAAAATATTACAACATCACAATAAAAAAAAACCCCTAACATCTAAATCAATATTCTTGATTCTTGATTCTTGATTCTTCGATTATGTGCAATATTTTGGGCTTGCAAAGAAGATAGTATACCTTCGCCAATTAGTTCATCCAAAAAAATCAATTAAAATGTAATAGCTGCGAAATTAAAATTAGTTAAAAACCTAGAAAATTAAAAAAAAAATCGAAAAAATTAAAATCGAAAAATAGTTGAAAATCCAGAAAATGAAGAAAAAATTAAATTAAAACCCAGAAAATCGAAAAAAATTAAAGTCGAAAAAAATTAAAACCCAGAAAATTAAAAAAAATAAAAATAAAATAAAATCGAAAGCTAGTTTAAAACCCAGAAAATTAAAAAAAAAATCGAAAAAATTAAAATCGAAAAGGATTTAAGACCCAGAAAATCGAAAAAATTAAAATTGAAAATTAGTTGAAAATCTAGAAAATCGAGAAAATCCAGAAAATGAAGAAAAAATTAAATTAAAACCAGAAAATCGAAAAAAATTAAAATCAAAAAAAATAAAAACCCAGAAAATTAAAAAAAAAACGAAAAAATACCCAGAAATCGAAAAACAAATAATAGTCGAAAAATGAATCAAAATCAAAAAACAATAATAATACCCAGAAATCGAAAAACAATAATAATACCCAGAAATCGAAAAACAAATACCCAGAAATGAAATCGAAAAACAAATACCCAAAAATGAAATCAAAAAATAATTACCTAGAAATCGAAGAAAAATAAATCAAAATCGAAAAAAAAAAACCTATTAAATTCGAATAAAAAAGAACCAGAAATCAAAAATAATAATCAAAATAAAATAAAAAAAAACCTTTGCATGTTGGAATTCTTCGAATGCAAGAAGGGAGGAGGACACCAGGGAGAAGGAGATGAGGGAAGAGAAATAGAAGGAGGAGAAGGAGATCGAGAAAGAAGAGGAGAGGAGAGAGAAAGAGGAAGAGAGGAGGAGAGAGAAAGAGATTCGGCTGAGAGGAGCGTAAAAATTAGGGTTGGGGGGGTTTTATAGGGCCGGTTTTTTTTTTTTGTTAATTTTTAATTGCTCCGGTTCAAAAAGGCACCGGTTCAAACCGGTGGCCTTTATGTTTTTGGCATCGGTGCCTTTTACTCTGGTTTAGCTTCCCACCAATTTTGTAGGCCATTTTTGGCACCGGTTTGGACTGAACCGGTGCCAATTAGGGGGTGCCATTTTGATATTTTCTACTAGTGAAAAGCACAAAGAATATGGTACCTAAGCCCTAAGGTACTTGGTTTTTTTTTTTTTTTTTTTTTTTTTTTTTTTTTTTTTTTTGCTTATATGATAATTAAAGCTCTACCTGACACAACACACCGGGTAAGCTATGCATAAGCCTTGTTTATAAAAGATTGACATGAGCCCAGCAGAATAGGAATTTTTATGGTTTGTCTCAAAAATGGCCCATTTGAACATGAGACACGCTAGATCGACATATGGGCCTATACAGCATGGTCCATGCCCATTTTTACCCCTAAACCACATACACATAAATTAGTTGAAGATACTATATACAAGTACAAGATTACAACTTTACAAGTATATTAGTAGCTGTTATTACTAGTGCTGTCAAATTTCAAACCGAAACCGTTTAAACTGCCCGAAACCGACCGACCTAAATGAGAACCGAACCGATTAAAAACCGATTTTTTTGAAACCGAAAACCGACCCGAACCGTATTTAGTAAACCCGAAACCGAATCGACCCGAATAATTTTAAACCGTATAAGAACCGAACCCGTTAACAAACCGAACCGAATATAAACCGAACTGAAAGAAAACCGAACCGAACCGTATCTAACCCGAAACCGTTTAAACTGGCAAAAAAACCGCTTACATCGAACCGTTAGCAAACTGCTACCCGTTTGCACCGAACCATTTAAAAACCGAACTGGTTATAAACCAAACCGCTTCTAAATCGAACCGTTTACAAACTTTTTTTTATATAATTAAATGGATTTTATTTTTTTTTTTTAATTTTATTTTTTTACGGGGATATAATTAAATGGATTAAATATTAGAGATCTTAGAATATTTTTTTTAAAAATAGCAAGGAAAATCATTCATTAAGGTGTTAAGGATAATCACTGATTACTTGATTAGCAACACTTGCGTATGTATGATTATCCTTAAGTGTGAGTGTGTGACAGCATGGAAAAGAAGACAAAACTAATTAAAAGATTACTAAGAGGTGTGAGTGTGTGACAGCATGGAACTGAATTCTGATACTCTTGATCAGTAGAGGACAAACAGTCAAATACAATATTAGGTTATTTTTTGTAGGTTTGATTGATTATAAAAAGGAAGTAGTATAGCAGTAGAATGGTGATGTTTGTGTTTTAAGAGTTGTGAGCTAAAGTGAGTGTGTAGACTTGCAGCCTAAAGCTGCTAACTTGTAAAAAAAATCATTTGTTATCAATGAAAGCTTCAACCTTTCCTCTTAGTCTTTCTATTTCGGGTTGAAGCAATTACACACCTAACTAGTTCCCATCCCCTAAAATCATTCTGTCTCCTAATGAAACTGAATTCAGACAGCTCTTGAACCACGTACTAGAGACTAGAGTTGACAACATTAATCAGTGTTCACAAACAAGAGCAAAACAAGCAGGCTCATACAGAGCTAATATGCACAGCATTGCAAATTACATATACAACTGCTGCCTCCTCCATTTGCATGTATCTCCATTACGAGAAGTAAAATGCAAATCACCAGACAGAATATAGCACCTGCAATGCTCTCATGTAGTTCATAGGCCAGCCAGTTTGGCATGACAACAAAGAACAGAAATCGAGAGACAGAAACTGCAAGCAAGAATTTCATGTTATAATACTTTATGATTGATCAACTGGGTTACATCTGATGCAAAAAATTAATTTATTCTTTCCTAGAAATTCATCAGGAAAACAGTAATTTGAAGCAATAGAAAAAACAGCAAAAGGGCTTAGAAATTTGCTGAGATAACAAAAACAGTAGGGTAACACAACAAATGAAAAGCCAACTGCTTCAAAGCATTGAATCAACATCCTTAAGCTTAGCAAATGTGCTGAGATAACTAAAACAGTAGAGTGTTAAGTGATTTCTTCAAGCTCAAACAAAAACTATGAATTCATTCTTCAATACACAACACTTCAATATAACAATCCCAAAACCAAGCAAAGTCCATTAGCAATTTTTTTCCACAGGAACATTACAGATGAAATTAAACAAGATGAGATGGCAGAACACAGCAGACAGAACAGCATACATGGCAGAACAGCAGCAGAGAGCAGCAGAATAGAAGAACAGCAGCAGAGAGCAGCAGAATAGAAGAGCAGCAGCAATCAGGAGCAGAATAGAAGAGCAGCAGTCAGCATACTTCAGAACAGCAAAGAACAGTCAGTATAATGGAAGAGCAGTCAGCGGACATCAAAACAGCAATAAGCCATCAGCAGACATTCACCCCAATGTAGCATCTCCTAGGCTTGAGGAAAAAGAAAAGTTATATGTGAGCAGAAGGGAGGCAGGAGGAAAAAAAAGCTATTTAAAAAAAAAAGATTAAAGGACGTCAATACCTTCCGAATTAGATGCAAAACTTTCATCTATCACCTCTTTACCAATTTCAAGGACGTCTTCTTCAATATCACAATCATAAC